TGCAAAAATCACGCCAATGGGCAATTAATAAAGGATTGGGGCCAAGGCGCTTGACAAACAAAGATGCACTAGATCCAATCAAAGGAAGAGCCACATAAAACCTCTGAAAGGAGGAAGGGAGCACTGTCAAGAACCAGTTGATCCCAATAACTCGAGTTGTTGGGATAAGGTTCTGCTGGATCTTATATCACACTCTAACAAGCACAAGGACATTATTGGAAAAGAAGACACAAGCTAAAGGTTTAATGTCATTCACAACAACATCAAAGGAGTAATTGATGGGAGATAAGAACAATATACATTGATTGCTTCTTCTCTCTATTTTCTCTCTCTAAGTCTTCATAATTCAAATACTTCTCTTTTCCCTTCTCTCATACCACTGCAAAAATACGTGAAACTCCTGGCAATAGAAAGATGTCCGAGCTCTCAAATAGATTTCAATCAACAGGTGGTTCACAAGTTCAAAATTTTGGCTTCATTAAGTTCGATTCCTTGGCGACTTCTAGGCATGAAGTCGAGGCGGTCTTCCTCTTCTTCAAGACCCAAAATTTCTCATAAAAGTATTTCATTTTAGGTTTGTAAAATTTCAAGCATAAAAAGATATGTTCCCTAGTTAAAACTAAGCAAAATCCAACATGCACCTCCAATATCTCTTCTCCAAGTCGTGCTACCAAATGCTCCAGGCCATATGAGAAAAAACCTATTGTTCTGTGCAAAACCCTGATTTCTAATGACCGAGTTTCTCTATTACCATGATACACCCAAAAGTGAAATTGTGCGACGAAGAATGAATGATATTTTGATCGGAAAAGGTTGAAACGTTACGCATATTCTCATCCCACATAAGAAAAAGAAGAAGAAAAAAACATATTCTCATGTTACAATGACAAACTTACGACATTATATATTCACACTAATTCAGTCTTCAGTTACAAAACTGAAACATCATTTTGGCTGGGTGCCACCACATAGTCAGTTCTATTAACTATACAAACTTGAAATCTCTACATAAGATATAGCTCTAAAGAGGGTAGGGGGGAACCAGAAGAAACACAGAGCAGAGAAGTGTAAAGATCAGCTAGAGAGAGAGAGAGAGAGAGAGAGAGAGAGCTTATATGTTGAGATATGTTCTTATCATGATCGCTCCAGTTGGATCGGAGAGCAGATGCCTGACAAGGGACATCCTCATTTCGTTTGGTGCAATAACAAACATATAAAAGGAGAACAGCATGAGATCCACTGACGATAGATTCGAACCAAGAAATCCCTGCCACATCCTGCACAAATTGAACAAAGCCAATGTCACTCCGAAAACAAAGCCAAACTGATCTGTGATTCCGAAATGAACCAAATTATATATAAATGTACCATCTAGGCACGCGAAAGAAAGCACGAAAGAAGGTCCTGATGCCTTCAATGTCCAGCTGCAATATAAGCGCTAATCCGAAGAGGAAGAATGCCCTTTGACGTTTCCTTTCCAAAGGCCACAGAGAATCCCAAGCTGAGAAGAGGAAGGATGTAGACATTTAGAAATGAACTTCACAAACTGAATCGAGCCCATACACGAGCACGTATTTCGTGCAAAATTACCTTGCATCGAGATGTTTGCATTACTTCTTCTCAGACCAAGGTTGCCTTTATACTGGTCCTGCTTTAGTATGTTGGAAATGACTGACGCATAGCTGGGTGCCTCTGACAACGATCTCACTACTGAATAGCCTGTTTGCAGAGAAAAGAGAGCAGAGATAAATGAGTAATGTCCTGCAAATGAAACTCGGGTCGACACAGAGGACAAGACTTAGCACTGTTCTCACCTGTTGCTGGATGTACCATGCTAGCAGCAGCACCAAATGCAAGGTTCTTTTGCTCCGTGTTTGGTAAGGAGCCGCCAACTGGAATATACGACCATTCCTGCACAGAAAAATAACAAGAGTATGGCACCTAAATGAAGCCAAGAAACTTGAAATTTTTTCCTATTCTATACAATTTACACACTGGAGAAATAGATAGCACGAATGAACAGGCTCCAAGAAACATTGAGCGCAGTGGAAGGCTTCTGTGTTATGTATGATGATATGGTACTCGCAACAATGTACAACCCACCATAAAAGTTAAAAGAAACTAAAGCAAACAAACCGTCTAGAGGAGAATGTAGTTAGTTGACAAATACCTCTTCGTAAGTTCTCAAAATTCGGATTCCCATGGTCTCTAGTCTCGACATGAGCTTTCTTTTTAGCAAGTCAAACGGCATGGCATCTTTTGATGCTAAACATGTTTCCTGCAAAGAAGTACCCATAAATGTTACGAACATTCTGGTTAAAGTTGCAGTTACGATAACCATACAAATCAGAGTCTAACAAACCTCAAAGAAGACTCTCGTGGAGGTCATGGGCATAACGTAGAGGAATGTTGGGTATTGAGCTTCCAGTGATGAAGGATCTTGCTTAGTGTAGTCTCTGTAATCCATGAAAACCATCAGACTGGGATCATATGGATTGTTTTCCACCTGAAATCGTAAGAAAAAAGTTGATGATGAAAGGCAGGACTATTGCATCTCTGAGACATAATAATGTTCACTCTTTCAAAACAGTGTCACAAGGTATATAGCAAGCTCCTAGTCCTAGACAAGCGAATTCGAAAGAAGTAAAGCGAGCATAATCGGGTAAAATGATTTAAAATCTTAGCGCTGCATGTAGCATACCTCAACTTCCACGCCATATGCAGTTTGAACAGAGACCCTCGGGCCTCCTACCTCGTACTCCAAGAGTTTTCCTGAAGCTGCACCTGATGCAACAGAGGCAAGTCTATAACAATATGTTAGGAACTTGTAGCGGAATAAACTGATACCATAACAAGCTTACTTTGTACAGACATTAAACGAAGGGACAAAGTCTACCTGCACGGAACAAGAACATTATGCTCACAGACTACAACACTGTGTCCCTCAGTTGCTTCAACTATACTTTCCACTTTCGAGTTAAGATATGAAACACCTGACTCGACACACCTAGAGAAAATCATTATACATCATATATCCACAAAATTCTAATATCTGACAAGCTAAATATGGGACGAGATCATCAGCATTTGACAACACAAAGAACATTGTCACAGATCTCTTACCTTCTTAACAATTCTTCATGAAGCAAGTCTCTATTAACTCGTCCATAGGCGCGGCCAACCATAATGGGATCTCCATCATCAAGATATACAATAGTGTCCCTCCAGACGTGCTCAATGCACCCAGCAAGACCAAGATCTGGAAACAAGTTGTCCATGTGGTGAACTAAGATACAATATGCAGAGTATGGAACAGAGAATCAAGAAAGTGGAGTAAAATCTACAGTGAGCATTGGAATGAGCAAAGATACTAAGTTCAACGGCAGTTAAGGGCTAACTGATCGAATTCTTAGAAGTGGATCAAAAGGGTATTAGTTATTACCTTTAAATTCATCTTCCCAAACGCCGTAATTGTTAGTAAAAGGAAGATCAGGTCCAATTAGCCCGACATTCAATCCCAACTTGGCCGATTCTGCCGCAAGTGCCAGCCCAGCTGGACCACAACCAATCACCACCAAATCCAGTACTTCGCCTCTGGTTGCTATAGGCGGTAACTGCAACCAAGTGAAAACCGCAAGGAAGATTATGCTCTGTTCATCGCAACACTAAAATGAGCAGAGGACTCCTTCTAACCACGAGGAAATGTAGTCTGCATATATTGCATATAGACACTCTAATGAACAAAAAAAGACTAGGTTGGACCAAAAGGCTTGCGGAAAGCAGGCACAGGAGCTCCTGCGTCTCCAGCCCCAGGATAACAGGAAACAGAACCCTAATGGCTAAACTAGGCTGCTTGAATGAATGCGTTCTCGTGAAAAGCAGCCTTTGCGGGAGATTGAAGCAATGGCCGGACAAATGTTTTCTCCGATTTCCGTCTCATAGTTCCCAAACAGCGTAACGAGCGCGGCGCCAGCTAAACTTTCTATTTCCGGCGGCATATATAGACCAAGAAGCAGAGCGGCTTCTCAGCCGCAGACATTGCGTTCCTAATAAGCATACACGCTACGGAATCGACGGCAACGCAGTAAATAGAGAAGCAAGAAGAACGCGAAACCAGTGGAGGACCGACCGCTCACCTTATCAGCAAGTTTGGACTGTTTATCCATGTCTTTCTTCCGCTGCATTTGGACGAAATACAGCTCGGAGCCACCGGCCTTGACGAAATCCTCCTCGTCGGCGAAATCATCAATAACTGCCACACAACTCTCGCTCCCTGCGCCGCCGCTCGCAATTCTCAGCTCCTTGCAGCACATTTTCTTCCGCTTCTCATCCGCGGCGGCGGCGGCGGGAGGAAAATGAAGAGGAGGAGGGCGATAACTCAGCTGCAATCTCCGGCTCGACGTTGCCGTGGGGAAAGAGAACACCGCCGTGATCGCCATGTTCCGCGCCCCGATACACTCCATTCTCGACCTGCTTCTTCCCTACGCTCTCTCGTTCCCCCGAGGAATAAAAAAAAAAGAAAAAGAAAAGAGGAATCCGTAACGGCGTTCCTCAGCTTTCACGACATTGCCGTGATTCTGCTAGTGATGAGGTTTCTCTCTCTCTCTCTCTCGCTCACGCCTTGTGCGTTTTACCGGCTCGGATTTTCACGCTTCGAGAGTGGGAGAGCAGCAGAGCTTCTCACTTCACAGGAAACCAGTGGGGAAGAGAAGAGCGGATTGGATAGGGAAGGGGGAGAGAAGGACGTGGTTCTCCTGTGTCTTTGCTTTCTGCTGACGTGTCAAACGAGTCGTCTCCTATTCTGTCACGTGGCCATGTCCTATTGGCACTGTTGAGGCGTCGTGTTTTTGGCAGCCCGACACAAGCACAAGGCCAGAGGCCCAGAAGGCATGGATCGTGCGGCACGGTGCTGGATTGGGCCACTAACGACTCAATTTGTCTACTGCTCCATGGGCTAAGAAACAGTAAAGTTGGATAAACGACAGCGTTTGGTAAGTTAGGTGCAAACGATGCCGTCGCTTGTTTCTCGCGATTAGGGCTTTTGATTTTGCTGGCTTGGCGGAGGCGGCAGCAGCCCCCCGCCATGAACAGAACATCTCAGGTTTAGCTCAAGGAATTTAGCGGCCGGCGTTGTTTGGGAGGAGAAAAAGAACTAGGGCGAGAGAGATGGGGAATCCGAAGCAGAAGTGGACGGCGGAGGAAGAAGAGGCTCTGCGAGCTGGGATAGCCAAACACGGCACAGGTAAGTGGAAGAACATTCAGCAAGACCCGGAGTTCAACCCCCACCTCTCCACTCGCTCCAACATCGATCTCAAGGTCTCTCTCTTCTGCTCCCCTTCGTTGCCGTCCATTCATGGCGTTTTGGAAAACCGATACGTCTCCCCGTCAACAATTTGTTTGTTTCTCTGTTTTTTTTAACTTTTTTTTTTCACAGGATAAATGGCGGAATATGAGCGTCGGCTCCGGCGAGAAATCGCGGACGCCGAAACCCAAAGTCGCTGCCTCCGATGCTGTCGTGGCTGCAGCTCCGTTGCCCATTGCTCAAGCTCCCGCTCCCACCCCAGCTGCTGCTCCAGCTCCAGCTCCTGTTCCTGCTCTTGTTCCTGCTCCTGCTGCTGTTGCCCCTCCTAAGGCAGAAGTAACCATGGAGGAAGCTGCCAAACCAATTATTGTACCTGATGTGAAAATTGCCTCCAAGTAATGCCCTGTTACCATTGTCCTTTTTTTGGGTTTGGCTATCTTCGTTTCTCCTTGCCCGCTGCTCCCATTCGGTTGTGTAGTTTCTTGGATAATGACTTACCTAACACACTTCCTGGAGGGAGGCATTCATTCGTTGCTATCTAGATCAATCTCTGCACATGGGTCTCCCTGAATTGGAATTCGTTTGGTTTACTACTTGAGTGCAATGCTGCTTTCATTATCTGAGTTTCCCCTCTATGCAACCTACCGTGTTTTGGATTCTTGGCTGTCAGTTTCTTCTGCTAATTCTTGTCTCCTAGAATGTTATTTGATTTCTCAAAGCCTGTTTAGAAAGGCCTCCAGTTTTACTTTTCACTTTCAAGCACTTTAATTCCCTGAAATGTAAAGGCTTGTTTGAGTTGTACCTCTTGGAGGATATGTTGGAATCTTTAGGGTAAAATGTTGATTATTAATTCAGTTGAGGGTTGAGATGACAGAACATGGAGGGACGGTGTATGAATGGAATTAAGATCTTTTGGTCCTAACATATAGGATAATTATGAGCTCAATCTCGGGTGAACTCGATTTATCCTTAGCGGCAAGGCAGTTCTGCATCCACTTAAATTTAGTTACTGCATTTGGTTATAAAAAGTACTCTGTTCTTTTCATTTGAAACATGTAACCTCTGATGGAATTCATTTAAATTTTTTACAGGTATGATCCAATGATATTTGAAGCAATTACGGCCTTGACTCGAGTTGAGACAAATGTTGTTGATATCAGTGCAATTATCAGCTTCATCGAGGTATGGTGGTAATCTCAGTCACAATGTTATTGTTTTTGCTGAAAGTTTCAGGTGGTCTCACCATAAGAACACTACCTACCCTCCCAACTGTTGATAAAAAGAGTACTTGAGCCCATATCATGCAGCTTATACATTTGTTCTGGTGGCCCTTTTCTCTTGCTTTGTGACTCAAAACACATCTCTTGTGGTTTGGTTTTTGATATATGCAGCAAAGGCAAGAGTTACCACAAAATGGTAGGAAGCAAGTAACTTCTAGGTTGAGGCGCTTGGTTCAAAAGGAAAAACTTGAAAAGGTTAGTAGTTCTAATTTTAAAGGTCACTTGTTTGTTGATGCCTTTCTCAAAATTTTGTAACTGTGCATTTGTAACCTTTGAATACGGAACTAAAATGTCCTGCTTCATTCTTCTTTTGTCTATATATTTGGATAAAGAAACTGATATCCAGATCTAGGTTCCAACCAGTTACTGTTTTACTTCTCGGTACTCTTTTCTTCCATTTTATCAGTACGATCACAACCTTCGCCCTGTCAGAAAATAAGTATGAAAAGAAAATTTTCGTCAAATCGTAACTTGATTCAGGAATGGGAGATCTTATTACTGTCAACCATTGGCAAATATTTCTAGATGTTGATTACCGATTTATGTTTCTTAACTATCCTTTTTGTGAAATACTGCACCCCATTAGCAAAAGACTACATATAAAAGTCGTCAAGCTCATCGTTATCAGTAAAAGTCATATGAGAAGCTATATATGTGATATAAATTCTACTGAAGATGGTGGTTGGTCCTTGTTGATGCATTATGCTGCATACGCAGATTCAAAATTCCTATAGGTTTAAGGAAAGTAACCCAGCTACAGCTCCTGTTATGAAAGCACCTTCTCCGAAGAAGGAAGCTCAGCCTAAACAGTTGCAGAGCACTGATTCGGTTACCTCAGATGATACAGTGGAAGAAGCAGCAGTGTCTGCTGCCTACAGAATCGCCGAAGCAGAGAACAAATCCTTCGTTGCTGCTGAAGCTGTGAAGGAAGTGGAAAGGATTTTGAAAATTGCTGAAGACACAGAATCAATACTGCAACTTGCCAACCAGATATTTGAGAAATGTAAGCCAGACATATATTTTCCAGTCTATGATTGCCTTTCAATCTCAGTTTTCTTCTCTGTTTCATTGTCTGCCAAACTTAAAGTCTCGAGTGAAGGAAAGTTCTTAAGATATGTGCGTTCCTGATTTGTGGCAGGTTCACAGGGGGAGATTGTAATCTTATCATGTGATGCGAGTTGAACGCCAGGGGAAACTGAACGGAAACTGAACGTTCTCGTACTAAGGTGCATTGTAAATACTGTGTGTAATTTCAGTAGAGAGGCTCATCAGGGCTAAATTTTGTGACCGATTCTCTAGTCTAGTCTAGTATATATAAACGTATTCTTTCCCCTATATAATGCTCTGCTGTTCATGCAGCAAACCATTTGATTAAGCTTTCCTGAAGTTGGGACCCGAACCAAGTGGAATTCCTTACTGCAATCGTGTTATCGTTAGTTCAAAAATCAATTAATTTGAGCTTCCATATATCTCATTGATAGGGCTAACTGTGAGAGTGAGACTGAGAGGGTTCTTTAAGCTAACTAAGAATGCAGTCTAGGGATGGCAAAAATATCCATAACCGTGGATATCCGCCCGAATCCGGCCTAATCGGGTAGGATAAAACCCGAACCCGAAGGACATTTAGTGGGTACGGGTAAAACCCGAACCCGAATATTGCGGGTAATGGGTGGGCATGGGTTTCTCACTATCCAACCCGAACCCGCCCGATTATGCAAATGCATATGTATTTTGTCTAGAAATAATCATTATTTTTCTCTAAAATATTTTGCATTTAGCATATAAATATAATATTTTCATGAAATTGTGTTGTTTTAATTAATTTGTTCATTCTAGTGAACTATTGTCGTACTTTCCTCTTAAGTAATGTGAGAATACGTGTGAATGATAACATATTTGTTGGAGTTATGAAGAGAAATTATTACCCATGGATAAACGTGGGTACCCGAAACCCGAACGGGTATGGACATGGTTTTAATTTTCTACCCGTTTCACATGTGGGTATGGGTATGGGTAAAATCCGAACTACTTTGGGTAGGGTAACGGATTTGCACTATCCGTCCCCGACCCGACCCATTGCCATCCCTAATGCAGTCCACTAAACCTAACCGGTGGAATTTATCGGTGGTTTGGTTTTTAGTATTGTTCTAGCTAGATTGTTACCATGCTTGCAATGTTTTTATTATATTGTTTTTTTTAACACAAAAAATACAAAGGTTGTTTGATTGATTGATGTGACAGAAACAATTAAAATGAATAATTGTACAATCTAAATTTTTAGCTGAAGCAGTCAGTATTGCTTAATTGTGATTATTATTTTTGTAGTTTGTATATTTTAGAAAGTACTTTTTGTAATGAAAAGAACTATACAATTGACATTTCTATTAAAAATTGATTTCTCTTGTTACTTGTTGAAAACATCATTACATATTCCAAACATTGCAATTCAAATACATCTAATTCATTAAATACATATATAATACATGTCTTGACCAAAATACATAGATTTGACAATCGGAGTAACCAGATGTCTCACCAATTTAGTTTACTTCGATTCAAATATTGAAAACATCATTACATATTCCAAACATTGCAATTCAAAATACAACCAATTCATTAAATACATATATAATACATGTCTTGACCAAAATACATAGATTTGACAATCGGAGTAACCAGATGTCTCACCAATTTAGTTTACTTCGATTCAAATATGTAATGTGTTCTTGATTTAGCAACCCAAACAACATCAAGCGGAAAAAAAAGTCGACGACGGGGAGCTTTCTTACGACCTGATTTTTTTTTGTTTTTTGCGATTAATGAAATTGTTACTTACTTTAGTTTGCTTCGATTCAAATATCATATGTAATGTTTTGTTGATTTAGCAACTCACACGAGATCTAACCGGGAAAAAGCCAGAGACGGGGGCTTGTTACAACTTGGAATTCTTTTGTCGATTAATGAAATTGTGAGTTACAATATCGCTTCTTTTTTTGTGTGTTTCAACTTTGCACGTTGATGGCACGACTACAGTATCGTTACGATATTGATATCGATGTAGTTTTTCGAAACAGAGGAGCCATCCTTATTCACCACATTCCGTAGAGGTTTTCGGTTCAAAACTTACAGCCACCCGTCGAAGAAGAAAAGTTCATCACCTCGAGAAACTGGGACGAAGAATGATAACTCGCCGCAGCGGCAGCTTCCATCAGCGCAATCCGCTGCTGCTTCGCAACATTCAACTTCAGCTCTTCCAGCTCGCTTCTCAACCGCACAAGCCCATCAAGCCCAAGTTCGTCTACTGGACATCTCGTCAGCCAGCTCTCTTGGGCCTTCATCACCTGGCCCACCATCTCCACGTGGTCCCTCTCGGCCTCCAGCTGAGTGAGAATCTGGGCCAGCTGCGCGTTCTTCAGCCCACCACCACCACCACCGGCCTTAACGACGGCGCTCTGACGGCGATGAGCGCCTCCGCCGGTCGGAATCGGGTCCTGATGGGCCAGGAACCTGCCGACGACCGAGCCCACGTCGGGATGTCCGAACGAGTACGCCTTGCCGGCCGGGGAGAAGACGATGACGGCGATTTCGATCCCGCAGAGGGTGCAGAGCTCGCTGGCCTTCTTGAAGAGTCCGGCGCGGCGTTTGGAGAAGGTGACCTGTAAATGGTTCTTCTTGGGTATTTTTCGGATTGGGATCTTTTGGCGACCCGAATTCGACTTGTCCATTTGGGAAAGGAAACGGACACAGCAAGTATGGAAGAAAAAGGAATGATAGATAGAAAGAAAGGAAGGGAGAAGGTGAAGTGAAGTACTAAAGATCTAGTACTTGATTTGCTCGAAAGGAAAACCATGGCTATTTATAGGGTTGTTGCTTCCCTCCAAATTATTGACATTGTTGTGGGGTTTGTTAAACCAGTTCGGTTTAGTAAGTGGTATGAACCGATTATAGTATAACCGGTTTTATATTGGTTTTAAAAAAGTGTAGGGTTATAAAAACATGTAGGGAAAATGGGAAGCTATTAACACAAAATGATATATAGATAAATTAATGGTGCCTTCTACGGTACCCCGGGTGAAATTCGGGGTACCGCATACTTTGAGTATGAAAACGCTATTTAGACCTCGAATTAGTAGGAATTTTGGGCGTGATACTATACCCTAACCCTTAATGAGTGAACCCTAGGTCCTAATTATCTAAATCATAAACTATAAACCCTAAGATGGTGCATTGATTTTTTTTTTGCCTATATTTAGACTAATCATAACCGTCGATTATTGTTTCTAATTAAATTGATCTTGGGGTATAAGATTTAGAGAATTAAGACCTAGATTTTGATCTTTAAGGGTTATAGTATAGTATCAGGTCCGAAATATCAGTCAATTCAAGTTTTGGATAGCGTTTTCTTACTGAAGGTATGCGGTACCCCGGATTTCAACCTGGGTACCGTAGAACTCCCCATTAATTATATCTCAAGCTGAATTATATTAGTTTTAAATATATAAATTATTACAAACAAACGAAGAAATAACCATTTTAAATACAATATATTTTACATCCACATCCAAACATTTATATTTCAATTCACTAAAATAAAAATAATATTCATATTTAAATAAAATACAAATACAACATAAAAAATCAAATGACAGACCCTCATATTTATATATAATAAATTTTAATTAAATTCATCAAAATGACATTATTTAGGGTCCATAAATTGATCATATCAGTCGAATCACTGATTTTCTGATTTTGACATATTTTAACTATCATTTCATGCTGGAGGTATTTCAGACCGTTTTGTATCAGTACCGGTTGAACTCAACTAACCGACCAACATTCCACACCTGGTTTACCAACCAGGGGGTTACATAATTGTTTATGGCTCTTCAATTATCTTAATTATTGTTGTTGCTTGGTGTGATCAATGCACATTTGGGAAGGAGGGGTTATGTTATCCTCCGTCATTATTCCCAAAATAATTACAATTATTTCACCAAAAGTAAATATGCTAGTTGGCAAATGGCAATGGGAGTGATTGACTTTGGAGTATTCGATCTCCAATTGTCAACCTTTGTGGTGGGTTACTAGATTGAGAAATAATAATAAATATTATTGTGAAGAGTATAATTGCGCTTTAGGGAATCGTGGTTAATGCATGTAAGTAAACCCTATGCAATTTCCTTGCTCCAAATTAAGAAGAGATAATAGGAGTATAATTGGTGAAGTATAATTGCATTTAGGGAATTGTGGTTAATGTATGTAAAGTAATCCTATGTGATCTCCTCAGCTCCAAATTAAGAAGTTCTTTATGGCTACATCACAATGCTTTATCTTCTTCTTCTTTATTTATTTATTATTATTATTATTATTATTATTATTATTATTATTATTAACCAATCGTTAATAGTTGGAGCTAGAAATGGGGTCTTGCAATTCTGGAATTAGGTCACATAATTAAGCGCCAATCCCATCAACCGCCACACCAGAACTCGTCGATAAAAACCTCTCCATTTAATTGTCTTGAAATGTTTAGCATCCAACTACTGCAAACAATATTTGACTGATACAGATTAATCCCAAACCCTTACTCTGTAAGACCTACAGCACCAACAACTGCCCCTAGCAAAACTTACAACCATAGCATCGATAGATTTGGAGAAAATCAAATCAAAATGTTCATCACCCACATCAACCAACAAACGACATTGTGTAAACTTGCTTGGGCGACCTACAACCAGCTAAAACATGAAGAAGACAGGGGAAGAGTAGCAAAAGAAAACAGTTCTGGGGTTACACATGTAATGGTAACAGGAAAATTTCACGTGAGATCCCCCCAACATCAACCCTGGACTACAAGAGAACGAGGCCAAGTTCAGATGGTCTAAGTGCCTGCTGCAAACGGTAGTTATACAGGTAATAGTGAAGCTGCCCATCACCTGGCCCGAATTTCAGGTCCTTCACAAAAGACTCGTTGAACATGACATCCAAGGCATTGAAAACGTCGAAATCCTTCTGCTTGGCAACAATCAATGCATCGTTCATCAACTGCAGCAATGGGGTCTTGTTTGAGACGTTGTAATACGAATATGCAGCTTTCAAAGTCGAGTAGTTCTGGTTGCCAAGGATAGAGGATGGGAGGGTGTAAAAACTGCAGAAGTCGGTGATCTCATGGGTCTCCGGGCTCTCAACCACAAAACTATCAATGACGTTCTCAACAGGGCGAAGCCAATGCTCAACATCATCCTCATCAAAATAAGGTGCAACAGCAAACTGAGCCAAGTAGTCCCTAAGTAACCGAGTGACAGCCGGCACATCATGAAGCTCCATTTTTCTGAATCCAGGAGTAGCTGGTGAATCTGGCAACTTGTAAAGCTTTATAGTCCTGCTCATTGTCATTCTGGCACCGAGCCTGGAAAAGCCAACATCGATAAGCTTCTTGGGGTTCAACGACCTGTGCCAATACTGAGCAGTAGTTACTGGTGTTGGCAGAACCACTCCAGCTGTATAAGCTGCTTGCCAAATGTTCTCCAGATGGACCCTCCTAGTAACCTCTTTGATCATGACCGGTGCAAGCCTCTTTGACCTAAGTTTCTTATGAACACACAGGAAGTTGACCTCAGCCATCTTCACCACTTCACCACGTACCCTGATCCTTGCTGGAATACCCGTGATGAAGGCAACAAGCTTTTTGGAAGTTTTAGCACGCACCCCAATGTGCCAGCTCTTGTAGTATCCAGGAGGACGCAATGCCCAGCTGAGGAACTCCTTGGAGTAATTGAACCGAAACATGTTCTCATCATCCTCAACATAGTTGTTCTTCAACAAAGCATAGACCTCGTTGCAGGTCTCATCGGACTCCATGTCACAAGTTGTCCACTCGTACTGTGCAGGCAGATTGTAAGGCTCTTGTTTGACCTCAGACAAAGGAGTTGCTGGCTCAATAGGCCCCTCAGGCAAATTCGTGTCCCCAACATCCTTGAATTGACCCACTGGCTGGGTTTCCCAAAACTTGTGCTGCTTGCCTACAGACATGGAGTCCTGAAATTGACGAACTATGGCTTCCAGGGAGTTATCCTCCTGAGATTGACCAGGCTGAGGAGTCTCGGAATCAAGAACTGGGTTTTCCTCTTTAGGCGAGGAATGATCATCTTTGTTATCACCCATCCCAACAGGCTCAATCTAAGCAGCAAATGCAAGTAGTTTTCGGAAGCTAGAGTAACTGGAAATCCATCTCGGGTCAAGAAAAGCAATCATGCAAGAAAAAAAGCTCGAAATTAATCGGCGAGCGGAAGTAGAGTATCGAAACAAAAACAACTCAAGAAAGAAAAGTAAGAGGAACCCAGAACGAAATCAACCATCTTCAGTCAATGGGTTCGAAAAAGTTCCAATCATGGCTCGCAGTTGTGGATTCAAAGATCAAGAAAATGAAAGAGCAATTAGATCTACCCTAGTGTACAGAACGAAGATTGGCGAATGAACTCACCGGTCGGGCGGATGCAGCAGAAGGAACGGGTGGCGGCGGATTCCTCGACGGTGCACGGGCAATGGGAAGCGATTAGATCGTGGAAGCTGCCGATTGAAGCTCAAAGATTTGAGGGCGTGGTCGATTCTTTGAGTGAGGTGACGACGGAGAAGTCAGAGCTCAGAACTCAGAAGGCGGCTTGGCTTAGCAACGCGGAATTTGTTTCTGAGGCTTTTTCTTTTTTGTTTTTGCTTTTACTTTCTTTCCAGACCACAAGACGACACCGTATCGGTTGGGTTTCGGATATGAGAACAATATAACACAAAACGGCTTGCCGTTTCTTAGTTTTTGCTAGTGTTATCGAACTGTTGATCTTGTAAAATGTAAATGAACACTTTTATCAATCTTGTAAAAGGAACTCAGAATGAACCTTTAAAAAAAAAACTTGTAAATGAAAATCATTGAGAAATAGATATTGTAAGTTGTATCTGTTTACACCTCGAATGTGCCAGGCGGGAAAGTGAAGACCCTTGGAGAATACCGTTGTTCCTTGATACGTGGGTGCTGTGTTCACTGCACAAAAGGTCCGGGGCGTGGCCCGCGAACACTCTCCGACGATCAAGTTAGTAATATAGAGAGAGAAAGTAGTTTTAGAGAGAGAGTATCTAGAATCAGTTACCATTTAATGAGGTGGTTGGCTGCTATTTATAGTCTGAGGTGGTTGGTGTAAGTGTCTTGTCAGTCGTGCGTTTTCCCGCCCCCATGACACACGCTTGCGGCGGCATTTAATGAAGTGTCAGTGATGGCATGATTGGTATGGATCCTTCCTTACTTGTCGTACTCACCCGCCTCCTACTGGCATGACCGGTAACGCCTTTTTACCCGGTCCCTTCGTCCCTTGGGCCGACCCATTCCTTGACTTACCTCCCTTGGGCTTTTCCCCTTCTGGGCCGTCTCTGGTTGTGTGGGCCTTGCTTTAGGCAGCGATCCCCTATGGCCCAACAATTGTCCCGCAGGCGGGTAAAGCCTCCGGGTTTGGGCGGCTGATGCTTGGAATCTAGGGCGGGATCGCTTCCTAAATCAAGGGAAAACGCCCTACATGGCCCTTCCCCCGGCCGTCCAGATCGAGCTTCACGCCTCGGGCCGATCTTATCCTCTCGTGGCTGCCACGTGTGACGACACACCCTCCCAGTAGCCGAAGTGACGCGCCGCCGTCCATTCCTCATCGCCATGATTACCCTATATAGCCTCTAGGGTTAC